ACAGGCGGCATGTGGGAGGGAGGTGAGGCGGGCATGGGGCGGTGTGGGGAAAGGAGGTCAGGCGTAGTGGGAGGTGGAGGGAGGAACGCGCGTGAGGAGGGACGAGGGGGGTCAGTAATGGGAAGATGGCGAAAGGGGGGAGAGGAGGGGAGGGAGGCGTTGCGTGGGGAGGAAGGTGGGGCGGAAGGAAGGTAGGAACGCAAAAAAAGAAATGGACGTAGGGAAGACCGTGGGGACGGGGGAGGGAGGCAGAGCGGGGGAGGGAGGCGGCGCGGGGGAAGGGGCAAAGGGGGACCGGCAAAGGAGGAGGAGGAGGGAGGTGAAGGGAGGGCAAAATCGGGATTTTGAACTGGAGGGGCCTGGAAGTAATTTTTTTAAAAAGGAGGGGCTGCAGCACATTAGGGAAAGTAAGGGGAGCTGCGGCACAATGGAAATTGAGTTTTGGGGCCTTAAAGCAATTTTCCCTTATATATATATATATGACTGACAAAAGTTGCCAAATAAAGTTTGTCCTATTAAAGGGGATGCTTAATTATTAGAAGTATACAGATGGATTGACAAAAAAGCTGCAACTATAAATGTTCAGAATCGATAAAGGGTAGTGGATGTGTGTTGGATGTACTTTCTCATTAGCCAACATTCTAAGAAGTTAAATTCAGTTTTGTAATGCTATTCAAGGATTCAACAACATGATTTGGTTTTGCATAAGTTTCTTTTTTATTATACTTCAAAAAATGATGGAAGAAAATCGGGTTTTTTTTTTTTGGCAATAACTAACATTTAGAATCAGAAAAAGCTCCCTATGAGCTATTAAGAAACTTGAACTTGCTTAGCAACATAATTTTTCCTTTTCTTTAGTCCTATTTTCCTATGGTCGTTTAGCAATCTCCAGTTTGATCATTGGCCTTCAATTTTTCTGTGCTTGATTCTAATTTAGTTCTAATTAAAGCTTAACATATTATTCACTGATTGGTCCTAAAGTTTTATAAACCCACATTGAAATTTTGACTTTGTTAACAGAGCAAATATCATTTGATGTGCAATAAGTATTGCGCCTGTGTGAACCAAGCACATTCTTCCCCTAGAAAATAATGGTGTTAAAAGCAAATGGGGTTACACGTTAAAAGTCTACTCATTGATGAAGGAATTACAGACTTAATTAATCATATCCAAGAACTTCACATTCTTCTAGCGTCGCATAATATATAGCTATAAGATACAAAACCATATTCTAAACTGAGCATAGTGTTGTATAATTAGATTTACATTCAAGAAAAAGGGTCAAATCTTCTGTATACAACGCAAGAGATCTTTGTTAGATAATACATTCCTTCATTTATATTAGGTGTTTTAACTAAGCAAGAAGCCAGAAATTCTTCTGCCATCTAGTGCTCACAAGGTATCCACCAACTCCCTTGCTCTGTTTTCTCACTGCCATCGTCAAGCACTCAGCTCTCTCAATGCACTGCTCCACAAGATTCTCTCTTCTGTTCCTAAAAAAGCTGCAACTAAAAAAATACCACCTTGAAGTAATTTAAAGCATTATTGTAATAATTCTTTTTAATGGTATGAAAATAAAGAGGACATACCAAGAGAATGGTGAGGGCTTGATTTGGCTTACAACCAGAACCGAGACTTCCAATTTCTTGACTTGGTTGAGCACTGTATGTAACTTTGGTCCTTTGATCACAAGTGATTCCACTTCAACCTGAGCAATTTGAGATCAAAGTTGTAATTTATAGGAAAAGGAACAAATATCATTCCATCGAGGCCTTTTCAGTGTATATATAACGAAGCCATTTATATCCACTCATCAACTGCAGAACGTGCAACAAATTTATTTATCAACTCTGCTAATTTGTTACATCAACTTGCATATATTAAAGATCTTTAAACAAAATTAAGTTACACCGTGTTGGTGAAAAAGGGATGATTTTTTGATAGGATAACTAAAGAAACCTTATGATTCAAAAGTTAGAAGCATAAAATACATGTTTTTTTTCTTCTTCTTTTTTGTTTGTAGAAATTTAATACCATCATATGAACATAACTAACCAAGTGCACATAACTAATTAAGAGACCATTAAAGCCTCTAGCTTTATTAGCTAAAGTTTCATTTTAGGAAAAGCCGAAAAAAGAAAAGAAAAGCCACAGAGAGAAACAAAGAGCAAGATTCCAACTTCCTAAGTAATAAGAACTTATCTTTGTGTTTCACTAGAAATATTTTCATTCTTCAAAAGAACATCTTAACTAAAAGGGAAAAAAAACGCAGAGAAAATTAATTACCTCAGACTTGCAAGCTTTGCAGAGGGAAACAAGGGAGTTAACAAAATTAATGGCCTCGTCTTCCTCTTCTTTGTTTTGGCCATCAACAGAGTTACGAGGTTTCTTAATAACATAAAGAAGAGTGAGGAGATCCCCTCTGTTGGCTACATGAGTAAGAGCCCACATCATGGCTTGCTTTGCCCTTGAGCTCTCGTCTATTAACACCATCACTCTCTTCTTATTTTTCATCAAGGCCTCTTCATCTTTGCAATCTTTTGAAGTTGAGAAATAGCAGGTGGAGGAGGAGGAAGAAGAAAAACCCATCTTGGGAATTATTCTAGACAACAGTAGGACTGGGACATCGGCTCTGGTTTTGTGTTATATAAAGAGGGGGAAGGAGGGAAAAGAACAGAAGGTGAACACGGAAAATTATGTCTAGACCCTTTGATTTGTAGAATTCATACCCCAGCTCTTTTTAATTTTATTTTAAGCCCATGGAAATTCATAATTCACTTCTTTGATCCTTTTGCAATTTGTAGTAAGAGATACTGCATAAATACTGTTAGAATATAAACTAACAATCCCCAACTTTCAACATAACTTTAAAGTTGTGGTATAAGGGTCAGAAGGACTTTAAGATGATACCAAAGTAATCCAATTTCAAATCCCACTGGAACACAAATTTATATCGAATTTTTTTAATAATTAACACTACTGTGTGAGTCCAAGTTTTGCCCCACAAAAGGAACGTTCATCATTCAAGTGCATGTTAGAATATAAAGCAATAACCATCAACTCTCAACATAACTTCAAAATTGTGAGGAACTTTAAGAAATATTATAATCTAGGAGCGCGAGTCCAGGTTTCGGCCCTTTAAAAGAACACTCAATATGCGGGAGCATGTTAGAATATAAAACAACAATCCTCAACTATCATCAGGACTTTGAAATCTTGATGTAATGATAAGAGGGGATTATTAAAAGAAATACTCTAATCTGTCGGGTGTCGGTATCTCGCAACGGTAGTCACAGTGAAACTGTCATTTGTATCTAACTGAAAAGTTGTCACTGCAGTTGTAAATGTCTAATTTTAAAATTCTACAACCTGGGGTTCAGAGTTGTAAAACAAAATAGAGAAACCATGAAGGGCAAACGGAAAAATTAAACATCTACAACTTTTAAGATGAAAGTGATGATAGCAAAAGGGGAACAATGCTCACGGATGCATCATGGGCCCTAAAAGAATCTTGCAGGTTGGCCTGCCCCCGTGAGGTAGTGATGATAAGGGTGCGGCCAGTTCACATCATGTTCATGTACTTTTTCAATTACTCTTGGAGTTTAGACTCTAATTACTGTCATAGGGATTGACGTGGTTATTAACGATATAAAGACTCTAAATAATCATGGTGCTGCTATTTGCTAAAAGAGAACGTAAATATAGTCTTTAATTACACGGATGTTCTTGTTAGAGATGAGTCCTATCCACTAGATTTGATGCTGATATTGGTGGGCCATTTGTAAATAAGGACAATAGTAGGGGTTGTGGAGTGGAGCAGAGGGTAAGAAATAGCTGAGCAGAACGTGGCACAGACCACAGATCAAACTCCAACGCCTTGTTTCGCAGACGGATAATTTAAAATAATAATGTTAAGGGCACATCCCCTAACACACCACCAACCACACCCCCCTCTCCTATCGCTACAGTAAATCAGGCCCCACATGAGATTTTAAAATTTTTAAAATCCCATGTGGGGCCCGGTTTACTGTAGCGATGGGAGATGGTGGTGTGGTAGGGGGTGTGCCCCTAACACCACTCGATAAAAAACCAGTTTTATTAGGGGGTGTTTGGTTATATTTTTATAAATTATAGGAAATGTTTTTCATCTAAAATATGATTTTCTTGTATTTCTTAAAAAATTTATAAGAAAAGTTTTAAGAAGTTAAAAAGTATAGATTTTCTTATTTTTTGTATTTTGCTTGTTTGGTTTAAAACAAGAAAATAACTTATAACTTTATAGAAAACTAGTCGAGAGGCAAGTGCAATGCACGTGGTTGAGTATCATGATTATTTGAATTAATAAAAATAGAGTAAAAATTAAAAAAATAAATTTTTTTGAGATTGATCATCAACTCAATAATCTCTCTCTCAAATAAAATATTATCATTAATTCATTCAACCCAGACTGTAGCCACGTGATCTACTATTTATGAGTTATAATCACATTAATTTAGTACAACATCTCTATTTATTAGTATCTTGAAGTATTCAAAAGATGAGTGATCATTCAATTCGTAAAAGACTTTTGCATATGAATTTACTTGCAATATGGTCATCACACTTTTAGTTGTGGTTTGACTTGTATTCACGTTAACTTTTAGTTATTGTTTCACTCATATTTATATTAACTAATATTCTCATTCAATTTTATAGCTCATTTTCTGTATCATAGAAGTAAATTTGAAACTATGAAGAATTCTAATATTCTCATTCAATTTTATAGCTCATTTTCTGTATCATAGAAGTAAATTTGAAACTATGAAGAATTATTTTCTTACGAAATTAGAGCAGAGCTCATTTTCTGTATCATAGAAGTAAATTTGAAACTATGAAGAATTATTTTCTTACGAAATTAGAGCAGGAAGGTTATGATATATTTCGTCATATGCTCTAAATATAAAAATTTCTTTTTTTTTCTTTAATACAATGTCTCTATCAAATCTTACCCTAAACGATGTAAATGAAAAATACTATTATAACTCACTTGCCTAGGACAATTGTATTATATATATGATACATAATTCATCTGAAATATCCACATCTGCTAAGTGGATTTTGCTATTGTGAGAACAACATGTTAGATGCTCGTATTCAAAATTTTTAGCTCTATAAAAGACACAAGAATTTAGAGAGCATAGCTTATATATCGTAAAGAACATATTGCTTTGTGAAGAATTTTTCCTAAAAATGATATTATTACAACGATATTACTATTTAGCATTAAATTAATTTTATTATATAAGATTATATGATATTTTTTAATAAATTATATAGTATATATATGGAAACCTCGATGCTTATAGCCAGTAATTGGGCTCCACAAAATATGTTAACTTTACATTGTAATTTGCTATTTGTAGTATCGTTGGCAATGTCATTACCTCTTTATCTTATTATTAACACTTTTTTGATATAAGTTCTCTTTTGCTAATTACTCAATTGGCTAGATTTAGTTTTTATAATATCAGATGTTAGACTATTCTATTCTATTTAAAAAGTGTTGACATTATTTTCTTAAAAAATATATACACATAGTAGCAATAGTATATACTTCAGTTCAACTCAAACATTGGCTTGACAGTAGCCATCTCCTCGGCGGAGGAGAAGTCCGGATCTGCGATCTCGACCACGTTGGACGACGCGGGGAGGTCACGAGGTGCAAGTGCAGCGACGGCAACGGGGTCTTGGATCTTCGAGCCGAAGGTCCTGCGAACATTTCTGGAAGAATTTACCTTTATGC